TCCACGAATTTCAAACGTGCCCTATCCATTTCACTTTACTATGATCATCATAATTCGTCTATTCAAGACTCGATAACAAAACAAATCAATGATTTTTATTTCGGAAACAATTTCTCAAAAGATAAATTTACGAATTTGACAACTGTAAATCAGCATTGAATTCATCAAACATGCCTTATTAACTTATGAAAATTTATGTCAATTTGTAGTTATTCGGCGATGGATGGTTTCTCGACGCAATGGACTCTTATTTACGAATGAGACTTTCACACAGAGATGCTGCACCCACCTATGTATATTTACTCACTCATAAAGCATCTATCAGTTTTTCTGAAGTATTTAATGGTGATCCGGAGACATTTTATGGTAAATTGATAATCAAAGAATTAATTTGAAATGATAAGAAATGGAATGAATTTTGAAGGTGTATCTCATGCTGATGAGCAGCTTCATTTCTTCCCGATAAGTAAAAAACTCTTTTCGAACTCATTGCCAACAAAAGAAGATGACGAGTTGCGCAAATCGCTTGTACAAATGTGGGTAGACTTTGCTCGAACTGGGTAAGTGATTCGGCTGCTGAATCGATTAAGAGAACTGCAAATTAAAATGTTTAAATTTTGCATGTGACAGTAATCCAACTCCTGAATCAAGTAATTTACCAAAATGGATTGAAGCAAAAGAATTTCCGCTGAGATACTACCGCTTTGGTAATCTTAATTTTGATGGCAAACCAATGTTTGGAATGGAAGAAAATGGAATATTTGAAGAGCGTACTAAATTTTGGAGAGAAATCGAAGCATTTCAACCCAGTGCCAATTGAACATAAAATAGAATGCAATAAAAATTAGAGCAGAACTATATGTAAATGTATAGATATTTTGTTTGGATATTCGAATCAAATAAATGCTTTCATTAAACAGAGGATTTTGTTCGATTTTGTTATTTGTTTTTGTATTATTCAGTCAATTTATGTATAACATTTTCCTCAAATTATTGTGCAAAGCAAATGAATTCTTATATACTATATATCTATTCTAATCGTCTTGAGATGGTGCCGTAAAAATGGGGTGACGTTTTTTGTGCGAGTAAACATATGGATTAATAATGTCGTCCGTGCTGTATAAAAGAAAAGAAGAAAAGGCCGATAAAAATCAATGTGTGAAATTAACCTCTTGGCTAAATAAAACTCATATGTCGATTTGCTCACCGTAGTTTTTTCGGTGGTGTACATGGAACAACTTCGTCCAAATTCTCCTTATCTTCCTCATCAACTGAAATTGTATTGTTGTCCTCATCAATTGAACGACCGCGTTTCAAGCTACCGGCACTATCTCGACCAAAAACATTTGTACAATTCTTGAGTGTGACACAGCCACAAGAATCGTTGCAACTGTTTCCACTTCTACGGCAGCCACAATGACCTTCCTTGCATCCTGTTTTGCATCCACAAACACCCTTTGATGATTTCGATCGCTTTGGCGCTGGTTTGCTTGGTTTTGGAATTGGCTCCATAATCGACTCATTCTCAGAACCTTGTGAATTTTGCGAATTTAAACGCTGCGAACGGTAAAATTGTTTAATTTTCTTTGATCAACTTCAATAAATTGAATTCAATTATGTACTAACCGTCGTCTTGCGGCGCGACCATTTCTGCAATGGAGTTTTAACCCAGTCAGGATCCATCGATTCGTCATCATCATCCACGTTGACCGACTCCATTGTATCATCTAACTCAATGGTGACCTAATTTAAAAATGTATTCATTAAAAACAAACGGCCAAAACAAAATTAATATAAAATACCTCTTCAATGCGTTGCTTTATTGGACGCTTGTATATTAATTTCGAATCTCTAATCTGTTCAATTTCAGCTTCCTTCTCATTCAGTTGCGCCTGCAACAGTGCTATCAACTCCGATTGAGATCCTGAAATAAATATTAGAATCAAATACAAATTACGTTATGAAGTGGATTTTTAAAGATAAAATTACCTTCGGATGCAAGTGCTTTTAGTAACACTGATTGCTTTTCCACGTTTTCATCAACCAAACGCTTCATTTCATTCTGTAAGTCATCTGATTTCCGCTTGAATTCATCGGCCATTTGTTGTTTTTCCTCGTGCAATGCATCGATTTGGTGTTTCATATCACGAGCTTGGGCAAAATATGTGTTGAAATTGCCACGATTTTCAACAAATGTATTGAGCAAATGTCTTACAATGCTACGACTCTCTGGCAATGTTTGATATGAATCTTGAATTGCTTTGATCTTTTCGTCCAAATCATTTGTTCGAATTTTTTCTCGCAAATCCGTTATTTGGGCGTTGTGCATCTCAATTTCTTCTTCAGTCTGTTTCACCAATTCCTTATCCTTTCTGCGTTTTGCCTTATTTAAACGGGTGGTTAGCTCAGCTCTTGCATCATTCAAGCGTTCATATGATTGTTTGATATCAACAATTGAGGAAATCAATTCAATCTCCTCATTCAACCAAGCTGCCTTTTGAGCCGGAGCATTCTTGTTTGCTAGCTTACTTTCTTTGTTCTTTTGTACCTTCAGCAGTGCTTCTTTAAGCCGTTTGTTTGCAGCATTCGATTCTTCGAATTTGCGTTGAAGAACAATTCGTTGTTTTTCATGGAGTAAGTCCTTTTTCACGGCTTCAGACTCAAGTTTTCGTTCCTTTGTGCGCAACTGAACAATTTCCTTTTCACGTTGTGCCTTCCATTGTCGGAACTCATCACTTTCAAATTTCATTTTTTTGATCAATTTCACTTTATTTTGTTTCATTTCAACGATTTCGCTGCTCAATTTCTTAATCTGATCGCCATCTTTCTCGTGTTGTTTCAACAGTTTGGCTTGCACATTGTTCTTTTGCTTGATTTCGGCAATTTGAGCTTCAAGGAGTTGCACACGTTTTCGCCGTTCTTCGGCCAACTTTACGGAAACCGAACCATTTTTATTGCGAAGCGCCAATTTAAGTTCTTCTTGCTCTTTTTCCATTTTCTTGATCATCTCTTCGTACTCTTTCATTTTCGCTTTAACATTTTCGGCATCATTTAGACTGCGGAATTTTTCATAGTTTTCGATTAATTTGTAATGCAGTTTCTCTTTGACATTTAACTCTTGCTTAAATTCTCGCAGCTCTTGTTGGTATTCCGTTTGTTGTTTAATGTACTTATCGTTAGTTTGGGCCAGCTCTTCGCTGTCGGCCAGTGATGAACGTGATACATTTATCGATTGTGATTCTGTGTGCTTTAAATTTTGTATAATGCAATCGTTTCGTTCCTTCATGTGTTCGGTCAAGTCCAAAATGCTCGTTGTAATCATTTGAACTTTTTCTTCATATTGTTTTAGTTGTTCGGGCGACATATTTGTTGTGTTTTCTTTATCCAATTTATCGATTTGTCCTTTCAACTCGGTGATTTTTGCATTTAACGACTCAATTGTCTCTTCATATTCGGTTAACACGTTCTCACGATGTGCCATTTCAAATAGTGCCATTTGCATTTTTTCCGCCAATTCACGATTATCTTTTTGCAATTGTGCTTTTGTTGGTGGCTCTTGACATGACTTACATTTTTCAACCGACGTCATATTTCCAATGCCAGATTTTGACAACAATTCAACGCGCAGCGATTGAATTTCTGCCTTGAGACGATTAATCTCAGCCGTTTTCGGATCTTCGTTGACAATTGGTTTATTTTTTATTTTACGTGCACGATCTGCATACCGTAGTGTGCCAATGGTTTCGTCACAATTGTAATCAGCTGGACTGACACAGGCGATCATCACTGAATCACATAGAAATGAATGGAAATAATATAAATTAATCAATAGTGTTGCAATGCAAAACAAGTATAGTGAGCCGGTCTAATACTACGAGCAATACCACCACCAACACTACTACTACTACTGAAGCAAAGAATAATACATACATGTAATTGAATTTCCGCCAAGTGAATCTTGTAGCAAACGCGTCAATTTCGAATCACGATAACCAATGTGTTTGTTATCATTTGGATTTGTTGAGCCCAATGCTGATATTACATTTCCCAATGCCAATAAACCTTGATTTATTTTAACACCTTCTTTGAATTGTTCTCCCACCGCTTGAGTCTTTTTCGATCGTTCCGAACCGGCTAAATCGACCAGATGAAATTTGGCAATCGTCGCAGAGGCTGGATCTTCTTTCGGAATCTTTTGTATGGTTACAGTGAAGATTGCATGGCTTCGACTGGATTGTGCATTCATAGCAGTTGCACCAACTGCTCGAAATGATGAACCGTCCATCAAACACTTGGTCGTGGATACAGTATCTTTTACAATTCGCTCAGTTAGATTTGGAATAACGATTTTTCCATCTACTTCGCGAATGTCAACAATGCTTTGATCTCTTTGATTTGTTGTCAACAAATCGTACAATTTCTCTTGATAGAGTTCGACAAATGAACAATTTACCGTGAAATCGTTGTCAATCTCCATTGTTGTGATTTGTTCAAAGATCTCATTGACAGCGCGTGGAATAACACCCACCTCATCGATATCACCGTTGCTATTATAATTTGTGCCCATGGTATGGGTTTTTCCACTGCCTGTTTGACCATACGCTAGAATCGTGACATTGAAGCCTTCAAACAATTTGAACACCATCGACCTAACAGCATTGTCATAGATCATTTCCTGTGAATCTTCCGGTGAAAAAACATAATTGTATGTGTACTTGTCCGATGTTTTTGTGCCTGTATTGACAATCACTTGCGGATGTGTTGCTGTCTTATGCACAATACTTTGGCATCCTCTGTCTTTCTCCGATTTGACCAAAGGCCGAATCCGTACTGCAACCTTCACCGTATCATCTGATGACATTTTCGTCGTTTGTTCCACCAAAACACGTGAATTCTAACGAAAAGAAACAAACAAAAATGTTATACAAATTGTATATTGCAGATGCCTGATCAAAATGTGAAACTTTGACACCGTTAGATGAATGTGCAATTACTTCAACAGCAATGTACAATGGAATGCTGTGCATTGGGATGCAACATGCATCACTTTACAATGAAAAATTAATGTTAACAAACATATTCTTTGATTGCACCGATTAATTTTTCTTATTCACCAACTGTAATTTATAAAAATGTTGAATGCATACAACAAAAGTTGATGGTGTACGATACTTACTCTCAGTAATGCGCAATGGTTTATTTGAACTCCCGAATATTCAAGTCAAAATAAAAACAAAATCTTTAAAATATTCACTAACGAAAGCCAAAAATGCAATAAATAACAAATTATGAACGAAAATTTAAACGAACATAAGAACAAACACAAAACTTAGAACACAAAAGTTCACTTCATAAGTTGTTTGAGTGATTGTCGGTTAGCGCATAAAATGCGGTGTTTGAATTGAATTTTATGTGAATTCGTTGCTTCGAAATAGATGACAGCCGAAGAGTTGCGTTTCGTTCACACGCAAGCTGAATGTATTTCATTTTATTTTTACACAAGTTTAAGCCGACAATACACGAAAATAGATTGGAAATTTGAAAATAAATTTAAATTTAAAAATTATTTAAATTCGAAGAAAACACTTTTATCGATTTTATTTTCGTTAACTCTCAAAATTATTACTAAGAGACATTTAGTGTGAACGCGTCACAAATATACGAAACAAATTTCGATTTTGTGTGTGTTTGTATAATGGTTCTGCTTGCAAACGTGAAACAATGCAGTGCTTTGTAAATAGAATGTCGATGCGATGGTATGCGTTATTCGGAGCAGCTGATGTTTTAACAAAGTGTCAATAATAATGAAAGGCAATAGTGAAATGCAAAGAACGCACACACAAGAAAAACATTGAAACAAACGAAATTATGTGCAGTCACACATCACACAGTGAATTGGATTAGTGCAGTTTAAGTGAGCAAAGCAAAGAGAAATAACCAGAGACGAGGAAACATGAGTGTACAAATGATTTTAATTTAATTATACCATACTAAAAAGAAACGTATATGATTGTTGTTAATATTAAACAGTGTATTTCAGTAAATTGTGTGAACATCGTTGTTTCCACATCCGAATTAGATTAGTTAGTTGTGTGTGCATGATGACAAATAGTTTTTGTCATTTTGTTTGAAGAAATTTTTGTTTTAGAAAAATAAATTCTGATAGCTAATTTGTGTACTTAAATTCATACACAATTGATAATCGGGGCCGATGATCTCAATTAGCATTGGAACTTTAAACTCAAGATAAACGGCCATCAAATAAGGAATGAAAGTTTGCTATTGATAAAGAAAAAAAGAAAGCAGATCAAGTGCACATATATAGGTGAGCGTGTTCGATAAAAGGAAATAGAAAACTTCATTTGTTCGATGACCAGAAGGTGTCTTTGCAAGTAAACACAACTGTGGTAGAAAGTTGCATACACAATATTTGTACACACGGCATTCGATAGAGTTGAAAATGTTTCACAATGTTAACAACGAACTATTTCGAACCGCTTCACAATCAGCCTCATCTTCATCGTCATCGTTCGATGATTTAATCAGCACGACAGCCACAAAAACATCATCATCAAGCTCCGAAATAACAACCGATGACATTTATGGCCTATGCAATGGAACGGCTCAGCGTAGTGAGACTGCAATATCACAATTTGCATCTCGAGTTTTAGAATTTAGTTCGCAGTATGGAAGTGACAACAGTATTTCATATACAGCATGCAATATTACAGGGAGACCATCGAAATATCCAAATTATGGCGATTTTCCGGAAACATTTGCTATGGTAAGCGATATACATAATGGAGTCTTAAACCTTTCAATTGGATTATATTTTCTTTTTATAGCGTTCTTATGGTCGATGGTGGGATATGGCGCCGTCTCGCATATCCGATATTATGCCGCAAACAGTTAACGAGAATATGCCACAAGACTTCATAGGTACTTACTAATCTCTGTTTCTTTTATGCTAGCTTTTATGCCTTCTGTTATAATGGCAATACTAATATTTTATGTTTCTCTTCAGTGGTTGAATTCGAGGATTTTGTGTTTCCCAGTGATATTTCAATTTATGAAACATACAATCCAGGTGCCATTGTGAAACTATGGGCATTTACAATAAATGAAAAATGGGTATGCTTATGGGAAATTGATGAACGCAATGACTCTGGCATTCGAACATGTTCAAACGATTCTAACATTTTTTCGCCAACGATCAAAGATATTAAAATTCCCACCCGAATCATACGTATTGAATTCAATCATCGGAAATTGGACTATTTCACAGGTAGGATCTTTACAAATGATTTTAAGATAGATAGATAGTCTATTATTTTTGTCTATCTAAACAGAAATCGACGGAGTTTTATTGGAAGGGATAAAATTCACACCACGAGACGATTTTCATCATCTCATGAGCATGTCACAAGTAAACAAAGGACCCATTCAACGAAAATTGGAGAAAGTATCATTTACACCAGTGCCAGCACCAAATCACAATCAAGATCAATTGCTCAAAGACTTTTTAATAAAAGACCTCGAGAACTTTATAATAAAAATCAATTGTGGTAATGATCGAAGATGTCCCAATGTACCTGATGCAACTGAAAAGGATCCATACACTTTAAAAAATATGCCTGTAAGTCATTGTCTTTGTACTCGCCATATTTGTATTATTGCATTTTCTCTCTTTTTTTTAGTCTGAAATTTTACTAAAAATTTGTTCCTACCTTGACTTGTTGTCGTTGTGTCGAATGTCACAGACATGTCGAAAATTTCATCAAGTTGCCCGTGACCCATCGCTCTACACCGAACTCAATTTGATGCCATTTTGGGACGTTGTCGATGCTTCAGTAATAAATACATTCAAACAACGATGCCGTTTTCTCAAAAAGATAGATCTCTCATGGTGTGGATTATTTAACAATTTGACATCATCCGATTTCAATGAGTACGTTGGCCAACTACAAATTCGATAATAGTCCATTTACATCATTAAAGTTTTATTGTTTTGTTTTCAGCTTCATTCGACATTGTGGTAAACAAGTGACGCATCTACGATTGAATTCGGTGAAATTTTTGAGTTCAAATAGTCTGGAAACGGTTGGAATGATCTGTGATAATTTGAAAGGTAATATATCATTTGACCATCGATCGAATTACTTGATGCAATTTCATTTTCGTTCGATTTTCAGAGTTGTCATTGAGAAATGCATCGATCTCAAGAGTTACTGGCAATCCATTTGGTTGTTTTAAGAATTTGGAGCGATTGGACTTGTTTCGTGTTGAAATTGCAGAACAGCAAATCACATTAATGCTGGAAAACAACCCAAATTTAAGACACATAAATTTGGCATTCAGTCAAGCGAACATGGATCAAGTGGCAACAACCATCTCGCGGTGTAATTTACATATTCAATCGATTGATATGTGGAAATCACGTGGTCTGTCATCAACTGGCCTAAGGGCACTGGCAGCTTCGTGCTCCGAATTGGAAGAGGTTGACTTTGGATGGTGGTTAGTATAAAAAGAAGAATTTTTTATAAATTCTTACATTAACAATTATTTATGATTGTTTTTGCAGTTTGCGTGACGAAGCGTCACCGGGAGAAAGTTTGCTAAAACTGCTCAAAGGATGTCCAAATCTGAAGAAACTCTTTTTGGCAGCAATTCGAGGTTTGAATGATCGTGATTTGGAAAATATTGCGAATCTCTGTCCGAATTTGGAACAACTTGATTTGCTCGGTGTCATGGGTATATCAACCATTATTATCCATTATATGCTATACATATTTGATTTTCATTATATGTCTCCATTACTTTCATTACGTTCCATTACATATCGATTAATATCCATTTTTTTCTTTTCTTTGTGATTAACCCTAGGCATATCAACCGAAAAATGTTATTTGTAAGTTTCCTCTCAAATATTTCGAATTTTCGATTATCGTGAACTTATAACTATTGCTTTTACAGGATTTTAAATCAGTGTCCCAAACTAAAATTGATTGATCTGAGCTTTTGTGTTCACCTCGACGATGCACAGGTTAATGTCACATCAAATTCTTTCTACATTTTATCGAACTAATTGAATCGCATTCTATTTTTATAATTAGATTTCAATTTGGAAAGAAACATTTAATGTCACCATTAAAAGAAGTTTTGTTCGTACCGATCACGATTATTCAACACGAAGCTACAACATAATCAGAAACTTTAACTGAACAGCGAATAAAAAAACATAAAATTAAAAAACCTCAATTTGAATTGATTCAGCTTAAAAGGAGAGAGATTAATATTGCATGAACATTTTATTTTGTATTTATATCACGTTATGTATCACAGATGTTTAATGCAAATTGAGGCAAATACTGTTATATTTAAAAGAGAGAATATTTTGTAATACAATACAATGCAAATGAGAAGCAGAAAATGAGCCATTTCCATTAGTTATGTAAGGGAATATTTAGTTTTTAAATAAGAAAACAACACAGAGAAAACCTGATGATGAGAGACTATTTTCGTAAAATTGATTATCCGTTTTTACTGATATTTAATAGAAAATTTTATGTGTGCAAGAGAAGAAAAAAAAACATTTTATTAATCAATACAAATAAAGATATATTTATTTACCCAAAGGAATCGTTATCAATTTAATTTAGCAAAGCGTTCCAACGAATCCTTCATTGATAAAATACAATCTGGTTTATAGTAGTATGAATCGACAAGAGTTTGAATGAATCGCTTGTAAATTTTATGGCGATTTGGATCTATACAAATAACACTGATAAATTTGTCACGACTACCATTTGATAATACGTCCATAGTGCTAAAGAGACTGGCAGTTATGAGCATGTGACATTCGATGAAATGTGATTGAAAATTGTGATCCGTATCCCATGATGAAATGAGATGATCTTCGAAAAATGTGTGCAAAAAGTCAATGATCACTACATCAGGTCTTGGTTGTAACTTTTCTATGCCCAGCAAATATTTGATCAATTCGGTTGCATCAAATGAGTAGCTGAAAACGATATTCATTAAAATGTCTCTGTATAATGTTTCATCTGCACCGTCTTCGATTGGAAGTGATTCGGGCGATTTTCTTGAAATGAACGTCACCTTTTTCCCTGTTCTCGCCAAACAAAATGCAATCTATAGATAATAAATCACCAAAAAAAGATTATAAAAATATTTTAATCACACTCTGAAAAAAGCCACTATTTGGTTGCGAATAGAAGTGTGAGTATTAAACCAAACTTACTCGAAGCAAATTTTGCGATGATTCTTCATTGTGTATAGCATTAAGCAGATAGTTTGTCGATGATTTGTTAGTGTGCATTGTAACAGCTGACTAGATAGAAAACTTGAAAAAATCTAGTAAATTAAGTCCCGATTTGAAAAATTTAAATCAATCACGATTTTTACGCAATTCAATAAGCAAAAGTAACCAAATGTAAACAAACAATTTGAAATGTCATTACAAAAAACAGTCATACGTCATAAATTACCGCCTCATTTGGAACCTAAACCACAACCACAATCGGTTTGAGTCTACGATAAAATGTTTGCTTATTTAAATCGTTAGCATTACGTTTCATAAGCTTGAATTGCAACTGTGTCAGGTGTGACAAAATATAATTTATATTCAACTAAAATGAGCGATCGAATGGAAATCCGCTTGAAAAATATTCATTTTACTCTTATCACATTTAAATATTTATTCATTTTGATAGAATGTTTTCATTTCAATAATGAACACACATATATCTCTAACACAAAGGAACTGAGTGAGTGTTGTAAAATTTTGTTTGAAATTTTGATCTTGATTGATTTTGTTTAAAAGTGGCACTGAATACGAGATAATGTGATCATGGAGCAATGCCATCGTCAAATAAACGACAACAACAAGTTTTACATCGCAGTCACTTCACACATACATTAAGCATATTGTGACGTTATATGCGAAGAAACAATGTGTGCGGCGAATGATATGTAAGAATACATCGAAACACAAATCGCAGCTAATTTCCACATGATGTTCGTACGCGACATTTAATAAAATATCATGTTGAATGTTTGTGTGTTTTCAGTTAACTATTACCTGTCGAATGAAACAAGAGTGATTCGTGTGTCGGTGCTATATGGTGCGTACACTGTGCGATGCACAGTGATTTCCATTTCATTTAAAAACGAAAAAGACTACGAAACAACGAACAATATTTGTATTTTGTATTGTGTATTGTGAATTGAATTCTTCTTTTGTTTATTTACTGAAACATTTTGTTTGCTGACCATCACATATTCACATATCTATAGTGATTACTTTCTCATTCAAAGCCTACTGCTAACATTTGTGAAATGTGATGAACGCGAGAGAGAAAAAAAGCGATAAGTTTGAAAACAACGATTTTTGTTAAGATTTAGGTGATTTAATATTTAGTCTACCGTAGCGATATTTTACATGTAGTTTTTCGCACAACACACAAAAGTGTGTCTGTCTGGAGCATGATCGTTTTGTATTTAAATCATCACGGAATATATGCGATATCTAAATTATACAAAACAAGTGTCGTGTTATTGTTCCGCAAGTTGGATAACCTTGATCGAATTCGTTGGTTGCATTCAATTCTGAATATGATATGAATACAGATTTCTTATGAAAAATTCCCAGCCAAAACTACGCGAAATGGAGAAATGTATAACAAACAGTATAAAACATGCCGACCATTTATCAAATTGTTTTTTTTTTAGCTGGAGATATCGAACTTACAGAGTCTATAATAATCAACGAATGAATCAAGCTTTGCACATTAAATTAGTCACTCATAAGAATTATGCCAGGCTACAAACGCTTCTAATCGGACACATAACACATCAATTTAATTCAATTCTTCACATCCTCCTGATCTCGAATTGTTATCACTGTCCGTTGTCACATTGCAATTCTAATGGCAAATAAAAGTGTTTGTGTCGTCATTTCCACGAAAATAATTCGTTGAACGCGTCATAGCTCATCTCTTTCACTTCTCTGCTCTTCATGCGGTTTCAGTTTCAAATGAGCGAAATTTGTATCTCGTATAATCTTATCTAGTTTAAACTAAATGTTTAAACCTCAATTATTTCATGTTGAGGACTCATCGTTGATCGTTCCTTAAATAAGCCAAACTTTGATTAAACTATTTCATTAAATGTTGACCATTTATCTCGAACGCTTGAACAGTGAACTGATAAAATAGCTATCAAAGTGCCAAACAAAGTAAATCTGTGATACCGTCTACTTTTATTCGTGGTATAATAAACATTTTGTAGCAAAAACAACTAACTAGTAAAAATTTCGTAGCAAAAACGAAAAACAGTTTATAATAAGTTGTAATTGGCTTGTAATTTCCTATGAAAACTACCAAAACAATATAATTACGGTCAAAGAAACAATAGCACAAATAATCACATGTCATCACATGAAATCTATTACAAAAACGACGAATCGCAATAGAAATTCTATTGTCCATCGACATTTTAGTGTGATGCATTTACGAATGCAATTCAATTATCATTAAACCGAATACTAAAACGTGTCATTTCCATGGTGTAACTAATAAACTAATGGTTTTTATGCCAAACTTTTGCAATAAACATCTTTTTTGTATCGAGTGTTTGGAATGTGATGGACAAATTCGATAAATTTCTAAATAATTTGCATCGATACGGTCTTTGCTTCGTATTTATTTTAAACAACTGAAATTTTAAATGAAAAATAGTTTATTTCTCTCATTTGATAAGAAAAAAAAGTGAAAACATCTTAGAAACCTGTGTTTTGTATCAACCAATGTTTGCTTGCAAACAGTGTTCCTATAACGATTTCTTAGAATTGAACATTGATCGATTTAATTGTAACCGCACGAATTTCAATTTTGTTGAAATTAACTTACAATTTTTCTCAACCAAAACATTTTAATTGTTTTTGTTTTGTTTTTTTTTTTTCTCATAGTAAATGGAAGTGCATTTATTGACATTACAGTGAAAAATTAGCCAAAGAATTATATAAGCTAGCCAGTATCAAGAATGTTTGACGTGAAAAATTATAAATTAAAAATGTTTGCCATTTTGTTGTGCCTAATGGTGATTGCGTTGTGCGGTGTCGTGACTACACAAGAGGCATTGCCTTACCAATATGAGCGACCATATCAGAATGCATTTAATCACGATCGTCGTCGCTATAGTGCACCATTCAGTGGTTTTAATGCGGCGTCGTCATTGTCAGGAAATAGGGATTTAATAAGATTCCCCGACGATGGTATGTCACCTGTAAACCAAGTGAGCAGTCTCACCGATGAAAATATTTTCAACGAACGTCATAAAAAAGATAACAAACCAAATCACGACGATGAAAGCCATCATCAACTGTCAAACGAGGTGAGTGGACTTATGCAACTATTTACCGTTCTTTTTTATTTCCAAAAATATCCAAAAATAATTTATTTTCACATTCTTCTCTATCTTAATTGCCATGATTCTTTCATAGTTTTGTGATGAATCACAACGAATGCATATTGTTCGATTATATACAGGTTTTTTACTTTCTGAAAGCAAATGCAAGCCTAATTACTATTCATAAAGTAAAGTTATGGTGTAATCCACTTTGCTGCCGTTCATTATTTAGTTTTTTTGAAAAAATTAGTGCCTGGACTTTCCATTATTCCACGTGAACATTTTGAAGTGACCTGTCGTTTGCACAGTTGTCGATGTTTTTGCCACCAAATTTTGCCAATCACCAGTTTGGCACACAAACTGACTTATACACATGAGCGTAAATATAAATGAATATCCCGGGTAAACAATTATAAAATTCTCAGAAACTGTCTATTGGCGCCGTTAACGGAATAAATACAATTACAATTTTTGCTTACCGCAACGAGACGTTGTGCTAACTAAATATTTGGAAAACAACTTAGAAACAATTAAAAGATAGGTGATCATTAACGTTGGATCTTGAATCTCATTGTTTTTAATTCATTTCAAACCATTTTGCTAACGATCTTTCACATTTCTGTTAAAAAAAGCTTGTTGATAAGAAAGTTGTGTAAAATGTATCAATTTTTAATAGCAAATTTAGGCCACTATTATTCCACGAAAATTGCAATTTTGGCATTTCTTGAGATACGCTAAGACGATTACCGAAATAGTTTCAGACATAATACGGTTCGTTAAAATGCACAAATACGTTTATTTGTGAATCAAAATCATCGAAAGTGATAAAATTATCTTATATCCATATCCAACTGCAACGCTACCTTATTTTGCATATTATAAACTCGTTTTGAGCTTGTTTCAAGCGACCTATAGCTCGATATACGTTCTTTTTGACATTCTGTTAAAACTTCATCAAACTCGAGTTACGGGAAATAACGAGTAAACAATCTTTTTTTGGACAAAAGATCTAAACAAAAGGTACATTTCTTGGAATTTTCAATTAAACAAAACCGTTGAAAGTAAACGCAACGAGAGAAAAAAATTACTGTTGAACAGAAGTTGTTTTACGAATGAATTTCGACAATGAGCAAACAGTTGTCAACAGATGCTGTTCTTATGAAATGTTGAGAAAAGCGCATGTTTTCCAATCGGGTTCCACGAAAAGGTTTATTATCAGCAGATCTGTTAATGTGTTTGTTTTAAAATTCGTCAATATCGATTGTTGTAAATGTGAAAGAAAACTAAAACACAGAATTTTTTTCACTGTGTGCTGATATACTGATTATGATTAAATGGCATCGCACGTTCGTTTGCTCAATAGTATGCGGTGTGCACTCTCATTGCAGACCGCCTATAAATCTTACCATTTTTAATGTTACTATAAATTACGGTGGTCTGAATTTTATTGTGAAAAAAAAGGTAGCATTTATTGTGAAAAGGTGGGAAGGTGAGTTGATGGCACCCAACAGACGCGTGGTCAAAACAAGTATCAAAAATAATGTCTCTGGTTTCATGATGATACACATGCAAACGGTATGCAGACAAAAACCACACACATCACTTTTCAAACATGTTGCACCAATTTGGCATGAGATTAAAAAGGATGATTCACCATCACCTTTGAAATGATTCTCACGAACGATGCAGTGAAAGGTGTGACGAAACAACATTGCATCGGGCCACGAAAAAGCAGAGAATAGGTCGATGAAGAAGAGAGCATAACAAAATCGATATATCAATGCATAAGAAGTCGCGTCAGAAATTTAAATGCAAATTAAATGAATTTATGCAGTTGCGTGAACGACTAAACACAATTGCATTCACATAACAAACGCATTGAAAAATACAACAATGAAAATACTCTCTTCGATGATCGTATATATTGAGTGTAAAATCCAAAAACACACTGTCACATATGAAATCCGCGCGATTATAAGTGGTTCAGCACTTGTATTTAACTCCGTTGGCATGATTAGCGGTAATTTGGAACATCCGCTTTGCTCACGCAATAACATCACTTTGATTGAGTGTGTTTTCCATCAAAAAATGAACAGCAAGCACATCAGATGTGCACAATATTCCCGAATTGATTTGTTTTGGAAGTTTTTTATGTCCGTAGTAACGTCATGACTCATAATATTGTTGTATTCAATTTGACACAAACAAAAATGTGGCCAAATCTCTATTTACATAATTTATTCAATGTCGACGCAGTTCATTCAGGCTGCCAAATGGCCAACCTGCGGAATGCTGATTATTATAAAATGAATATATCTGTATTGACGGAGACATACGGTGCCAATATGTGTGCACTGGATGATTCATTCGACTGTAATATTAAGCGAAACGGTGAGAACGAGAACGGATACAAAGATAATCATAGGTGTCTATTTAATATAGAACAATATGTTGAAACATTCAAATATATTCGCTGTATTTAAATTGCGACATCAGGTAGCGAGAGCGACAAGTGTATCTAGTATTTACTTAACAGATACAGTAGTTTTGAATACTCTTTATCGAGCGCGTGCATACATTATATTTTTACAAAATTTATCACTCTGTACGTGTTTATAATTCAAATCAGAGTTAAAACACGTTAGAACTCTTGTGATATAAATCACAAAAGAAATAAAAATTCACCGTGGTAAACAATGGCAATGACGTTGACAGAAAATAACTACGCTATATTGGGTGGCATTGTTTTTACTGCTCTCTGGTAGTTGACACCTCAGCGCACACACGTTCAATGTTATCAAGACAGAAATGCATCGTGGACAAACACATTTTTTTTTTTGTAAATGGCACTCCAGTCATGAGTGCTGCTTATCACACAAATAGACAAATGATTCATTAAACTTTCCCACAAAAGCAAAATACTTGAAAATCGAAAATAAATGCATGATGTTTGTTCGATAAAAAATGATATTTTAAGTGTACTGAGGTATTTTAATGCTGTTTAAAATTAATTGCATTGCATATTATAATTTCAGGTTGTGCCGATGAACGTTACAAATGACTTAAATAGCTATGATGATTTCTTTAATTTACTCGATGAAGAGTCGCGTGGGCAGATTGAAGTGATATCACGTAAGTTAATAAGTTAAATCTCTGTGTGTTCAAGTAATTGTTAGAAAAACAACAATTTATTCAATTAGTCTTAATTCTTAATACAAAATACGAATGGCAAATATTGTAACTAATTTGTACGATACATTAAAGACCACATTTAACACAGAAACTAGGTCATAGTTTTTTCTGAAACTTAAACTAAACTTAACAAAAAAGCAAAAAAAAAAAAAATGAAAACAGTTTATTATTTATACATCGGTAATTTCAACATATTTCTGTGTTTTTTAATGCAACGAGGACATTCTATCCAAACATCCGAAAAATGTTGCATGAGTTTCCTGTAAAAATTGATTACATGTTATCTAAACTAAAATCGTAGCCGTCGCAAAGATGAAACTTTTTCATTTTTCGGTTTATTGCGAATGGTTGGAGTTTTTAAAATGGATGGGTCTCTTGGACTTTGAATCGATTCAAAGGACGGCGACGAAAATAGTAATTTTGTTACTTTGTCTTTGTGTTGTTGTTGTTCGTGTTTTTCTTCTTCGGCGGCCTTTTCAAATTCATCTAGTAAATTGCGTCGGGTGACGTGTGTCAAAGGTTCGTAAATAATTAACGCAAATTGAATATCGTCCTTTTGTACCAATCCGGTTCGATAAGAAATTTTCAATTTTGTTTTTCGATCCCATCCATTTTGTGACTCTGGCGAAACGAATGGTGTGGCTGTAATGGATTTTGTCGTTGGAAGTTTATTAATGCCTGGATGTTTTGCACGTCGAATCGTTCGAATTGATCCAATCGATTCTAAATACTTAAGTTCTGAATATGGCTTTGAAGAATTAAAATTAGCCGACGAACAACCATCGGTGCTTGATGACGGACATGATAATTCATTGACACTGTCAAGCATTTTCTTTGATCGTTTCATCGGCGATGAGCTGCGATCGTCTTCATTATTATTGGATTTGGGAATTTCTTCAATTACCGTTCGTTTTCGCAGTAATCGTCCATCTTGTTGCACGATTTTCGATTCGGATTTGATCACATTTTTACTTTGGACTCCTTCACACGTCGTACGACGCAAATTGTACGTTTTATTGTCGGTCTCGAATTCATCGTCCGAACTTGAAGATGACATTTGATACTGTTTTACACGTTTCTTATGCTTTTTGTTTCGATGAAGCGGCGGCGGATGGTCAAGATTTCGTTTTGACGGTGGCGGGCTATCATATCCGGAAAATGTTGGTGTATCTTTTGGTGTACACAGTATGTCATTCTCGATTGGCGTCTCTTTTCTAAAAATTTCAAAATGTTGCCATTTATTTTGTATCACAATAGTATTATTTCGAAATTTAAGAGGTAAACTTACGCTTGTTCGTGAGTTGATCTGGTTTCAATTGGATCGCATGTGACGGCAGCGACAAAGTTCTGCTCATACTGTGGCCATACGTCGTATTGAAAAAATCGTTCGATACATTTGTTGCCTTGAATTGTACGACCAAACCAATCGAGTACTGCATTCGATGCCAAGTTATACTGAAAATACTCGTTTTGACTATGGCTTAATTCCATAAAATAAGATAGAATATCTTTTGCTTCCATTGCAGAGAGTTTTCGCAATGGTTACTTGATCACAGTGATATATTTCTGTAAATAAACAAAAAAATGTAATTAGTTTTATTTTTCCATATTTTCTCAGCTCGTTTTGGCGTAGTAGTGGAGAGAAGTAGTGGTAGCCGACCAATTCCAGCTCAATGTAAACCAGAAATGGCGGTCGTTCCACTTCGATTGTCCGATGGATCTGATGTTAAGGATCCAACTATTGTTGTATTTCCATCATGCACGCGGGTGAAACAATGCAGCGGCTGTTGTAACAATAATCTGGTGTCGTGTCAAGCAATCGAAACCAATATAATTGTTTACGAGGTATGCTTTTTTTTATTTTATTGTGGAATTTGATGGATTTTTCATTGATCTTTTCGTTTTCAATGAAGGTATTCAAATCGCAATATCAAAGCGGCGGAAAGATGAAATTTTTGAATAAAGAGATAGTTGAAGTCGAAGAGCATACAAAATGCAAATGTGATTGTCGGAAAAAGGAGTCGGACTGTAAAAAAAATCAACGATACAATAAATCACAATGCTTGTGCTATTGTATAAATATCGAAGACAAAAATAAGTGCTTAGCAGTAAGTTGAATGGACTGATTGTAATTTGAGATTATTTACTTAAATATGGTTATTGACTCCGTTTCAGGAAACCGAGGAAAAAATTTGGGATCCAGACACTTGCAAGTGTCAATGTCGTGAAAGCAAAGACTGCTCCAGTGGAACTTATTTCGATGAAAATACATGCTCATGCCAAGGGGTACGTAATATTTTTGATATTATTTTTTCTTCATAAAATATTGTGTGATTTGATCATTTAAAAAAAAACAATAATATACACGATGAATCAGCTAAAAGTTGCTTTGGAATTTACGCTGAAAGACTTATGATTTTGAAAATGTTTTTTTTTTATATTTTTATGCTTTTTTCCTCTAGATTACTTATTATAGGGTTGATCAGTATTCAAATCGAAACTAGCATTTTAAGTTACATTTTTATGAATGCACTGTCAATACCATTCATTCGGTCGATTTAAATGTTTATTGATAAAATATTTATAAGATTTGAGCATTCTAATTGACGGTTTCTTGTTTTAAAAAACGATGTGTTCATCAAATAGCGTAAGCACTCAGTGTGAGTATATAAACAAATTTATGAATGGGATTCATTTTAAATATTGGGTACAGCTGTTATATCAACAAATCGCTTCTTGTAAACATGTTTAAATATTTATTTGTTCGACGGGGCAAAGGGGACATTTCACCAAATTCATATGAACTAGCAAAATTTATCGTAACAAAACTATATTGACCAATCATTTCATGTGTCCAGTTCACTAATGTTTGATGTGTGTGTGTTTGCGTGAGAGATGAAAGTGTCTAATGCATTTCGTAGTTCAATATTAACACACAATATTAAGATCTCAACACAAACGTTTGTTTAACTCTAAATCGAACGGTATTTTTCATTACAGACGCCTGGTCATCGACACACACAACAAGTATCGGATAGAAGACGACTCATCACAAAACCAGTAATCTTTGTCCCAGAAACACCACAAACATACTATGACAGTGGCACATAAAATCTATTAGTGAGTTCGAAAATTACGTATGTTTTTCTCATACTATTTCCATATTATTTTTTTCGATCGTGGTAACTGGCGAGATTAATGACATAAAAAGAACTATCCGTCAAGTGGTACAGATATTCTGCAGTTAATTATTGTCGTTTTTAGTTTTTCACGTCCAAAAAATGTATGGAGAAGATATACGTATTCTTGAAACTCACTAGTAGAAATGCAGCATCACACATTCCCCTGAAGCATCATTCAAACTCACAACAAAACAATTTTGATTTATGTATTTTAATTTTTAAGACAGACAAAAATAAAGAAGAAAAAAATTGAATCACCAACACACATTTTAAATTAAACCGCTCGTTTTGAATTTGCACTTTCAATGACATCTGCTTCGATTGAAACGAAGAAAACTTCTAAACAATAATCACTTTCAAAAAGGTCAACACCAAACATCCAAATGTTTGTACCATACTGGTCTCGGTCTACTTACGATAAATGAATTGATTGTTTTTCTCTCTGCTTTCTATCTGCTCAACGGGCAATTATATTGCGTCTAATCTTTTTTTGATTGCTTTGTACAACAGTCGTAAATCCGAGTTGGACTACGTTCATATTTCACTTTGTCACCGATGCATCCGATTCTTTTTTACCTGCATCGAATTTGATAAATTCACAACTCCAAAGTCGAAAATAAACAACAAATTTTCGTGAAAGAATTCAATTCAATATTTGAAAGTTGAATGCAAATAATACAAACTAAAGACACATGTCAAAATAATAGATGATATTTTAAACGGGTTTTCTGAAGTGACGCTTGTGCAATACTTTCAGTACGGTTGGTACGCATGATTAAAAGGCTTACGATCCAGTGAGAGACAGAGCATGCGATATTCGAATAGGCTTATTGACATTCATTTGAAATTTGCTTCTTCGTGCGTTTAAATTTGTATAACGAAAACAAATGAGGTTTCCTTCATACATTTATATTTTAGTTTTCATACAATTTCAGCGAACTTATTTGAATAGTGAAATAAATAATTTTTAAATACCACAACATCGACTTCTCTTTTTTTCTCATGTTGGTTTTTTTTCGTTTAGCAATAATACATAATACGGAGGATTTTTTTTGAATTTAAATATAATTAATGATGAGCAATGTCTCCAAGTTGATGTTTCGGCCACATACATTCACAACCAGCAGCCACTGTGCGAGTTTCTGATTCCCAGCAATTGGCTCCTCGGGCTCGTCGAGTCAAAAATATCGTACCATTTAGTTGAATACAACTGAAGCCAGCCTCACTACATACCTGCAAATATTAGCATAATAGGTGGTTGAATTATCATTTCAAAATATTTAAAATTTAACCCTCGAATGCATAAATTTCTTGTTGTGAAAGTGTTTGTTCAATAAAATCATATTGTCCGAATGTTTGACTCAAAAATGTCGGATTTCCAAGAAACACATTATTTAATTGCTCTCTGGGATTAGAGCTACACTTTGAAATTCCAAGAATAATAAAAAATAAGTGAAAAGAAAGTAAACAACAAGAAAAAATGCGTCTCGAAGGAATCAAAAGCTATAAATATGTAAATATGCTTTATCGCAACGCTATTGGTTCTGAATCGAGTTCAATGAAACCTAATGAAATTTTTTTCACTTTTGTTTTTGGCTTTTGATCTTTTTTTGATTCTTACGAGACACATTTTTTCTCGTTGTTTACTCTCTTTCGGCTTATATTTTTATTATACTAAAATTTCAAGGTGTATCTCCAAATCTTTAGCGGACTAAATTTTTGAGACTGATCTCAATATGATTTTATGCACTGTATAGTTAACAACAAAATATCTGCTCAACAAAAAGGGTTAATAAAACCACAAAAACTACTCACCGCCGCTTGAATTTTATTTTCACTATGCATTACTGCATTTGCACACCGCACTTCTTCATAGTAGTCTGGTCGATATTCAAAATCTATATCCATATTCAACAATATTGTTTCTCTTTTGATCGGGCATAATGATTGGAATGTTGACTAAAAATGCGAAAATTCAAAAATATGTTAAATGACAGTAACGAGATTGGGCTGGAATTTTTCTACTTTGTGATGATTTTTGGAACGCGTAAGCCGTCCTGCAGAAGTGTCATATACATTTTGAACACCATACGGAATGCTCGATTCAATTTCTCTGTCGTTTTCATAATGTGATCCTTCCGCAAGGTATTGGTCGTATTCTGTATTTGAAATGGGCGGTCTGAGAAAGAGCCAAAATTAAAAAAATAGTTAAATTTCAAATTTATTTAATATTAGAAAAAAAATGTTGAAAAATTAAAAGAAAAAATCCATAGAATGTGAATTTTACCTTTGCCGTGATTTGAATAATTCTGCTAAGAAACGTAGACCGGTGGTTTTGCTTTCATAGTCATCAGCGGGATTTTCATCCTGTGTCGGAGCTTCCAAAGCCCAATTACTGCCAAATTTATTATTAAACAATCTACGCTGCTTATCAAGTTCCGAGTTCGATGTTACAGGGTATAATAATTGCAATGCCAATAAAACCATTGGTATCAGAAGCTGTAAATTAATTAAGATTAACACCATTTTATTAAATTTTGTTGCACGTTCACTATTGATAAAAGATTTATTCGTAAATTATAAAAGGTTCACGGCCAAAACTATCAAAGTTCACTGTTTTTTCCTTTACATAATTATATTATAATTTCTAAAAAAATGCTCACATATCTGCGCACAAAATTGCTGTTTAGATCCATTTTTGCTTAATTATTCATAAGTCATAGAAACAAAAAAAAATTGAACTCCTTTTATGGACGAATGTCTTTAACTATTTCACACAATTGTTGTCTTGATTTTCAGTTAACACTTTTCTGCAAGAGTCACTCGGCGATATTAATTCATTCAATGTAGCACAATTACTGTTTGGTTTCCAGTCATTGCAATGCCTTTATATAGGGAGAATTGGTGGTGAAGATAATCATCAACACCTTCATTCTGATTTTTTTTTAATTAATTAACGTAAAATAAATATGCAATCACACCAAAAGGCCAACAATGGTAATGAACAACGGAAACTTTCTGGCAATTATAATCACCGCGACATTGTGTCTACTGAACGACACAATCCGCAATATACATCAAAGGGTTTTCAAAGCTTTGCTATTTGTCGTATGCAGCTGGCTAAGTTGTCCATGTCATTCTCGTTAGTAACGGTGAGAGTAGCAGTGACTGGGGCTTATCTAAGGCTTATCATTTTCTAAATATTGCACCGTTTGTATGATTTGCGTAGCAATTTGATAAAAATTTTCATCAGCTAAACCAGGATAAACGTTGTAGGCGACGTTTAACCACGCACTGAATTTCATTTTCGTTATTCATTATCCAGCACGGTTTCACTTTGCTTTATGATAAATATATCCGAATGATTCGAATACAAAAACAGGAATTGAATATTGTAAATAGTACAAATAATAAATTTTATCATCAAGTATGAATTGAAGAGCACTTGAATGATTCACATCGTTTGGGGAAATAGCATATCTAAAAATAGATTGACATTCCGATATAGAATATTTTCGTAAAATACTACATTTATTGAATGTAATCGATGACACGTTTTAAAGAACATTGAATTCTTGAGAATAAGAATGCGTATTAGTGCTACGTCATCGATACAGATGGTCACTTATGTTGAAAAATGTGTAACACGCTTCGTTTCGTCAGAATTACGCAATATGTAAACAAAACCTTCGACACTGTTTAAAATGAATCATCAATAGGCCAATCATAGAAGTGTTAATTGTACTGACATACTACTTCATTAAGAATTTTATATTAATTTCACTCCTTCCATCTCGTATAATGAGGCGCTCGCAATGTGTCTTTGTTTTATGTTTTCGGTTTCTCTTTTTCGAATTATGAATGAGTAAAAGAAAAGCTGTCGGCCACTTATCCGTTGACAATAGATTAAATTCATGCGTCACATGCGAAACAACAAACCCCCATTTGTGGAGATTCACATTGAGATTGAAATATATTCTAAGATTATTTCTTTTCTTTGAAAATAGATTCTTTTGATCTAACCAAAAAGTCTCTCTCTATTCTTAGAATTCAAATTACGTGCTCATAGAAGTAGGTGAAATCTCATTCTTATTTCGCTATATAAGAATAAATAAACACGAGATGTATTTAAAATTATTCCTATTATTGAATTCAGTATATAAAATTGTTTAAACAAAGTTGAATATTTTGAATTAAGTCCAAGATATTGAATCCAAAATAAATAAACAGAGCATTTTTATCCAGTTGCCATCGGGTTCCTTTCATGAATTAAAACGCACATCATTTGATTCCGAGCAAAAAAAAGAAGCTACAAACGACAGTAAAATGATTCCATTTAGCATTTCAAAAAGGTGTGCAACACAAGCACATTGTACCTATAAGAATATCCCGCTGCATGAAATGCACTGAGACCGTAATTCATTGAAACGCAGCGTTAAACGCAATAGGCCCAACTTTGACAGACAGATATTGTTGCATCATTGACAATTAATCCTCAGTCGCAAATACAAACAACACACATTTGCATTTGCACATCAACCCAACACATCAACATAGTTTTATTATTAACCTGAAAAAAAAGTGATTATCCATATCCAAATGGAATAAATTTGCACGGCATCAAAAATTGCCAACATTCTAATAGTTAAAATACACAATTGCTGGTTCTACAGCTCAGTTGGTCTGTGTTTCATAGATTGAATTTTGTGAAATCGGAAAACCTTAAATTGCATATAAAAAAAATCTATTGTTATCTGAGTGAACGCATCTTCGTACATTAGTCCCAGGGTGTAATATTAATTGCATCTGGTTGGTTGGCAACAAATGTACAATATATAATTGCTGCTGCTGCATAAGAATCCAACCAAACATTTGTGCCGTTTCATCGACAATCGCATTATCAATGATAATTTAACGATTTTAAGACACAATTTTTATTTGTAAAAGTGTGAAGTTTTTCGATTAAAGAATGGCTGATATGGCTGCAAGCACCTCAACCATACAGGGCACATTAAATTTGAGTGACAAACAGGAGCTCAATGAAATACGTGAAATTGTCTGGGGACCAAGTATTCGATTAGACGTTTTTCAGCGATGGTCACAAGGTTTGTTCGTCAATTATTATTTGCTTTATTGTCAACAATTCATGTCAATTTCCAATTCGATTAATAGTTTTGAAAACAAATGAAAATGCATTGTTTACACAAAATAAAAGATTGATTTCTGTGTTAAAGTGAGACCATGAAATGTATGTGTGTGTGTGGTGTTCGTTGTTGATTTGATACCGTGAAGGCGTAGTTCAATATGATTGTACAATTGACTGCATTTAAATGTATTGTTTTTGGATTAAATGTTGTTGACGTTTTATGTTTTTTTTTTTGTTTTAATAGGTTTTGAATTCAGCGAACATGAACCATCAGCCTTAGTTCAAAGACAGGGTGGACCATGTGCAGTTATCGCACCTGTGCAAGCGTTCTTACTGAAAACAGTCTTATTAGAAACCAGTAGCGAACATTTCAGTAATGTAAGTGAATCATCTGTGTGTATATGTGTTCCATACGTATAAAAGTGAATGGGAATGCACCGTTTACACCCAATTTCAAATGTAGATTTATTTTTTTTTATTTCGTATGTATATGAAATAGCACCTACTAATTCTTTTTTAGAAATGCTATTTTTAGAACATTTCGATACATCATATCACATATGAACATTTAAGTGATTTATTCTAATTTTGTTGTTTTTGTTTTTATAGTTGACAGCGGACCAATGCAAAAATCTACTCATTCAAGCAATCTGTGCTATTTTGAAAAAATGTAAAGACGATAAGTTTAGAATAGTCACTTTGCCAGAAGAAGATAACGTGCCATCGTCTGCAGCAGCAACTACACCCGGACAAGAGTCGGAATCAAGTCAAGTACCTGCTGAAACTTCGACGGAACCAAGCGCAAATGTAATTATACACATTATAGTGTGTGTGTGCGTCAAAACTTTTCATTTTTTTTCGTACATTACAGGTATCGCCGAGTCAAAGAACTACTGAATGGGTTCCAGATGAATTCCATGAACGTTTATCAGTTCGATATTTCGATAATATCGAAGAGGTTGAACAATTTTACACAGAAAATCATCACGTTTTGACTGGCAGCTATGGCGTTCTGAAATTCATGTACACAGTTTTATTGACAAAGGTATGGCTGGCCTAAAAAATTTATTTCAATTAGATATACTGAACTTGTTATTATCTATTTTAGAAAGTGCAAAATATTATGGCGGAATTATTGGACACGTCAGAACCGCTGATACATGACACTTATGTAAGAAATATGAGAATTTTTTCTATCAATTTGTGAATTGAATTATTTTTTTATATATTTGAAGGGTTGTGGATCCCAAGGACTTATCAATTTAATGCTAACTGGTCAGTGTGTTGGGCATGTTTGGGATTTTGATCAAGACGTTGGTGGATTGAGTAAGTTAAATTTTCATCGATAAAAAGAGAAATGCATAATTTTTCTTCATCAAATGTGATACAGTTCTAATAACTAATAATGCATTTTTGTTTTCAGAATTAAGAGGAATATCGCAGCAGTCAGACATTGGATTTCTCACATTAATGGAGCAACTGCGATACTGTACTGTGGGATCATTTTATAAAAATCCAAAAAATCCTGTTTGGGTGATGGCATCTGAAACTCATTTAACTGTTTTATTCAGTAACGAAAAGAATTTAGTTTCGAAGGAAACACCCAGCGAAGTGGCACGACGTGTATTCAAGTCATACGATCCAGATGGGAATAATTTCATACCGAATCCGGTATTACAGGATGTTTTGAGTGCTTTAGAATTGGTTAGCGAACCGGAATAGTAAGTACATTCGAAATATTTTTTTGCAACATTCAGCTACAGTAAACATATATTTAAATTTCAGTGTGGACATAATGAGCAAAAAGTTGGATCCGGAAGGATTGGGCATCATTTTGCTTAATGCATTTATGGATGAATTTTTCCCAGAAGAAAAACGATCAACACCAGACACATTTGATCTGATACACTACAACGGCATCCCCAGATCAAACGTGGAAGACAAAGTAGGCATTGCATTTTAAGCATATGTTTTTTTTTGTGAATAATCCTCAATTGACGTTTCACAGGTGAAATATCATTATGGTGCGGCCATACTTTTGGAAAGTGATTTACGCTCCGTTTCCATATCAAATCCAATGATAACATGTTTACAGACCAAATGGCCAAATATAGAGGTAAATTGGACGGACAATCGAACTCCATCATTGAATTAACGCGGCCACCCATCTGACGGCTGACGTGTATTAGAAGCAGAGATTTTTTATCAGGAATAGAACACACATACACACAATTCCACAATATTAATGTGAAAGGGAAAATGTTTACCTTTTATTTGGTAGAAATGATAGTAAGAGAACCACTTTTAACTACAACAAAGCTTTAGCCAGACAATTCATCTAACTCCAAGCGACTACGTTTTTTTAAAAATTAATTGGCACATTTTTCAATAGCCATCAAAAAGAGTGGATTTTTTTCGCATATATTACATCGTATAGTTAGGTTTTACGAGACAGCATGTGTTCACCCTTAAACATTTTGAATAACGATATATTTTACAATTATTTAATGAAATTGTACATTCATTTGGGAATCGAAAAGTGTAGTCCAACATTTTATATAATTCAGATTCGATTTAAGACGGTAAAAAGAAATGAATTGTAAATAAAAGTGCTTTCGTTTGATTTTTTTCGATGAAATTTTGGCACCTCTCAAATACAATATAAATTTCGGATAAAACTTCTATGTGCAGATGGATTTCCTAAGAAAAAATGTGACATCCAGTGAAAATTTCTTTGTTGAATAAAAAATAATGTGACTCCAATTGCTGTTGATTTTTTTTATGCTTATCAACATTTATTGCACAAAATAAAAGAATTTCATTTATAATTTAGGTGCTTAAATCGATGATAGTTTCTTTAGATTCATAAATCTATGGACTTGACGTATAAAAACTTATCTACTATCATTAAAAGGTAATTTCTTGATTATCAAGTTGTTTTTTCTCTTGTTTGATTTGAGAACGAGGTTTAAGTTGAAAATAAAAGAAAAATAAACAAAATAAATGTCAATACATTTGCTTTGCACATGTTTAGTGCTCACATAGAAATAAAAACTACTTAATATATAGAATTTTATGGTTGAATTTGTGGTAGTTGTTCGGCCACATTGGCGTTTACAATGTTTGGCATCCGGTCGAAATCACTTGGTTCCAAGACCAAAATTTTCATATTTTGCTCAATGGTTGGGGTGCGAGAAAATGTTACATACATTTGGCCGTGTGCAAAAGCGTCGCTTGGGAAATACACACCCAATTGTTTGAACTCCAATCCAAGTGCCTTATTGATAGTCATGGCATAGCACAATGAAACTGGAAACTGACGTCGTACAAACTGCAAATTTGCGTTCGGGAAAAGTTTTACAGTGTTTATTCTGTAGATATTGATTGACTTTCCTTTGCGATCACCAGCACTGATTTCCGCAACAATTGACATTCTGGTGAGTTTCTTAATCACCAAACGAGTACCTGGTGCCAAACCCTTGTACGATTGTTTCAGCATTATCGGACAATTTTTGTTCAGCTCTAGAACATCCGATGGAAAATATTGAGGCAGGTTTTCAATCGTATAATCGATGGAATAGAATCGGCTGCGTTTTTCGGGATCAATTTTTTGAAAATAATTTTTTGCGTGGAAAAGTACGCTTGTCTCACTTAGTCGCTTCATACATTCATGGTTCAAATAGTCCACATCAACGCTGTATACAGTGAGAATCGATCGCTCAATCAGATCATTGGTTGTGTGCAATCCGTATGTAGTGTTGATCAATGAATCCAAATTGAAAACTCGGCATTGACTCGGAATGGAAATATGTTCATGAATGCCCAAACCAACATCCAAGCAGAAACGATAGTCGGTTTGTTGTTTGAATCGAAAATTTTCATGCAGTATAAACTTGTGCATTTGTTTGTACAATTCGGAAAACAACAATGAATGTGATTCAGATGATTTGGACTTTGCGTGTTTGACAATCGGCAAACACTCATTAAAATCACCGCACATAACGACCACCTTGCCACCAAACAATTGATTTGAATCCATCATAGCACGCAGAAAACGGTCAACCTCTTCGAAGATGTATTTACTACAGAATGCTGCCTGATCCCATAGCAGTATTGAAGCATTTTTTATGGTTTGATATGCCGGACGCGTCGATTCAAGTGCTGACGTGACATTTTTTTGATTCCACGGTATGCGAAATTGTGAATGAACCGTTTTTCCCTTGCTCAGCAAGCATGATGCAATACCGGTGTAGGCAAATGCAATCGCTTTGATGTCATTTTTATCGCAATGCGATCTGATATAATTCAACAGAAATGTTTTACCGCTTCCAGCGGCTCCTTGCACCAAAAATGTTTTGCCATTTTCACATGGCTTCGTCAAACTGGCGATGACCTTTTGGAAAATTGTCATTTGTGATTCACTCAACGATTTTGCCATGATTTCCACTGAATTTCGACTGATTACTGCAAAGAAACAATTTGATGTTTTTAAAATAAATGAATCGGAAAATTCTTTGGCAATATTTCAGGCTGTTTCGTGTCCATTCTATATATATACTTACATTTTTTTATAGAAAAATAAAACAAAACACAAAAACTGATTTATTCGTCAATATTATTATTCCATCACGTCTGTACAAGCCTATTTCACACGCACTCAGATTTACAACAGAATTGAACAGTTATTTTAACCACATTCAACTTCTCAAATTACCCAGTGGTCGTCAATACACACACGTCTGTACAGAACACGATCGCTCTCGGATTGTTAGTACGCATAGCAGTTGTGTATGTGTATAATGAATACAGTGACATTGCTTGCTCCCTTGCTTTCACACATACACATGTGTAAATATGCATTCACGACTCCCAAAGTGTGCGTTGACAACTTGTTGCAGAAGTTTGGAATTGTATATGAATTAATGACGAAGGAACATCAAAGAGTAAATAAAATGAAAATTGATATTTCGTTCAAGAGACTTCAAACAACAGCCGACATTTTTTTTTATTACTTTCACATTAACATAAAATTGTAGCGCATAAATTAATTTTTGCCCATAAACTAAATAAACTATAAATTTGATTTTATTATGATCTCCAAATTTTTTTTTACTATTAATATTGAATACTTTATATTTTTATCTATTTTTTAACTTTTAAGTGTGTGTTAATGCATTTTTTGGTTGATTATTTTTGATGCGTAGCTTTCGAATTTTCAACACTTTAGAGCTCTTCATCTTTTCGAATGGAATATTCATCGAAACATTTAATTTGCAAAAAAGTAAGCAATGATCAATGTAATCGCTACACTGGCCATGCTCCAATCTGCAAAGAAAAGAAACGAAATACATTTTAAGATATTCAAATGATTAAAATTCATCAAGGCGAAAAAATTTAAAACGAATAGAAATAACTTACTTTCAATACGTGATGCAGAACCCTTTTGGCTTGCAACAATTTTTCCATAATCGTAGTAGCCACGTGCCTTTGCCTCCTTTAATAGTGCAACGAGTCCATCGAGAATTTCCCAGCCAACTGGTTCAATTTGAGCGGCGGGCAAGATAAACCAGTCTGTGCTGTTTGGTGGTCCTCTTAGCTCGAATGTATAAGTTATCGGGATACCAACGGAGTGAGCAAAATCATGCGATGACCCAGCCGATGGATAAATAGTCTCATAAACACTTCCCGACTTATAAATTGTACCGTATCGCTTTTTAATTGCTTCGACTGTTTTGGCTCCAATTTCTTTCAAATCAACATAGTTATCCACTTTTTCACTTGTATAGCCATTTGGGAACATAAGCAATTGCGAAAACGAATGCAAACTAATGTAAGTTTGGACAAATTGTGACTTGAAAATGCTTTTTAGATATTTAGATAGCTGTTCCGCTTCCGGTTCACTGTTCATAGATGGTCCAGCATAATCATATGCGCACGGATCTGGGCTCGATCCAGTCTTATTCCATGCACTGTCGAAATTACGATTCAAATCGGTGCCACGACAAATGCCAAATGGCTGTCTTGTCTTGCGCCACATTCGATCTTTCTCAAAAGTTGCTTTATATCCATCCGGATTGATAACTGAAAGGAGAAATTATTTGTTTAAATATTTCAGCCATTTTTTGATATAGTTCTAATAAATGGAAATACCTGGGAAGAAAATCCAATCAAAGTTTTGTGCAATATCTTGTACTTCCTTGTCGTCCGATATCAAAAGTTCGTCCAAAATGAATGTGGCTGTTGCCGGGCTGATCCACTCTCGTGCATGAATTCCTCCTTCAATGAAAATTGCCGTGTTGTTTTCTTTGTGCGAAAGTTTAACGCCTCTGATCGGAACACCTTCATAGCTCTTTCCAATTTCCACGGGTTTAACAATTGCGCTGTATTTGGAACAGAGATGATCTAACCATGCATAAATCGTCTCCAAATGATAATAATGTCGCCAATCAAAATCATTCACCGATGTATTCATTGGTTTTACAAAAACAGCTTCTGCGTCGAGATTCGCTTGGAAATTGTAATTCTTTGAAATAAATAAACACATTTCACATGTTATTGTTAAAATTCTCATTATTACACCCATGTATGTATATTATATATTAATAACAAGCTCACCAGCACTTTGTATGAAATATTAAACTGATGCATTATATCTGTGAGATCGGCTATCTTGTGCGCAGCAGCTAAAATGCTTAAATTTTGATTTGCTTGACGCGCGTGACCCATAAAAATATAGCTATCACTGCGAGCTTCTATTTCTTGGAATACTTTCACATGTTCTTCGGTTTTCAAATGCACACTATACATTCGATAATTATCATAACGTGCCTTGTCTTCTTTATTTTCCTGCCCATTTGCGAGACAAATGAGTGCAATCACAAAAATTGAAATCGTTGACCACATTTTTTTCACTTTCTGTTCAATATAACACGTTCGCTTCGCTATACAGCAAACTCACGACTGGCGTTCAAATGAGCGCGTACAAATGTAAAATGTTTCAAATACGGACTAATTCACCTGTATTTATTCAAGGTTTTATTGTCTGAGATAAAGACGACAGTTCTAAAAACGCAATAAATCTGCTTTCAATTGAACAATATCCAATGAATTATTACTGCTTTCGATGATAAAAACTATTTTCTTTGCTTCTTTTTTCAATTTACTGTTACGAGTTTTAATTCAAACATGTGTATTCAACGAAAGTGATGACATGACATAAATAGTTTATTTCGGTATTTCTTATCTATCTCGCTTCATCCTCTGTAAAATCAGACGATCGATGTGACATTCGTATCAATTTGCAAAGTAGCGCTCGGATATCGGTGTATTTATTTTTACATTCTTGATTATACGAAACTCTGCTAACGCGTTATAAAGATAATATGCATGGAATGGTTGTTGTTGTTGGCATTTTTGTGTGTAGAGAAAAATAAATATTAATTCAAATTGTAGACGTTGGACGACTCGTCGTTGTTTATTCGGAATTAATATTTATAAAAAATTTGTCACTCTGCAAAAGAATCGAATATTTTTGGTATTTTCATTTGCTTCAAACAATTGATATTGTACTATAAGTTCTTCAAACTTAAATTTGAACTAAATTGCAAACAATAGGACAATAGTGTAATATTTGTATGCCAAGCTAATAATTCCGGAATATGTTTGTAATTGAATGATTTCAAAGTAGATCTGTTTGATATCAAGAAAACATGCTGCTAGACGTTTGCATACGATTATGATGTGCCAATTGTGACAATCGCATACTAAACATGCGTTTAATGACAAACGTCATCGGGCTGCACATTTTCCAAATATTTCATATTCCAATAGTGAAAAATTCAATTTTGTAAATAAAATACGCAATTCATAACGATAAAAAAAGAAATTTCTGTTTCGGATTTCGAAAAATACTCACCCAATTCAGATATCCACTGTTTTCTGGAGATAACTGCGTACAAAGTAAAAACATTTTATTGTGTGCAATGATGATAAGTACATTTCAAAGAGAACCATAGTACAATGTACGATCAAATACAGATTTTATTTTTATTGCTTGTGTATGTCTGTCGGTTTTAATTATTTTGAATAGGCCCAAAGGGCAGAAAAGATAAAGAAGATAAAATATCCTACGACTCTTTAGATCAATATTATATTTATATTTCAAAATACATATTCCATTTTAAAGATAATTTTTTACGTTGTTGGTTTTTCTTTGTAATGGGTGAAAGAGTGTCTTTGAAGTTCAATCGGCAGCCGAAAACGTTCAGGGCACTGGTTGCATTCTAAATATTTTTTTAGAGAAAAAATGCCATTGTTACTTTGTTTATTTGCAAAATGTCTGGTATAGTAGCTTTACTTACGGTGAATGTTTTCGCCAAGATGA